TCTCTCTCCCTCTCCAGCATGTTTTGCGGCAGCAGCACTGGTTTGAGCAGCGAGACGGCTTCCTCTCTCCCCTCAGCAGATTCCCTCTCCTGAGCAGCAGCACATCGTGTCTCCGCTGCTCCTGGTTCTCTGCTTCCTGCTCATCATGATCCTGTGGGTGAAGATGGGAGAGGACTCTCTGGAGGAGCTCGTCAGACGACTTACTGTTATCATACATAAAATCGGTAGGAGGAGCTGTGAATGTGTGTGTGTATGTTTGTGAATCAATCAGTAGTATTGGGAGAAATATATGGGAACTGTAGCTCAAGGTTGTTTGCAGCTTCTGTTTGTCTTTGCTTTAGTAAATATTTGAGAATGTGTTGTGCTGATTTTACCTCTGAATAAATGAATCATTCTGACCCATGAAGCCATAACAGCTATTATATTTAGATCTTTATGTTTAGCTGCTCAAAATTGTTGCTGTTGATGACATCACTTATAAGCCTGAAACTGAATTCCATCTGAATTAGAACTTTCTCAATATTCTCAGTTAAAAACTAAACATTTGAATTTTAAATTGGTATTTTGAATGAGTTTTCTAATTAGAATTTAATTCAAAATTAAAAAAATTCAAAACACAAATTGAAGTTAAAATTTTAAAATACAAATTTCAAATTCTAATTTTGAAATTTGAACTTCAATTAGAATTTGAAATTGGTATTTTGAATGTGATTTTTTACAATTAGAAATAGAATTTAATTCTAGTTAAAAAATAATTGTGATAAAAATGCCACCCTCAAAATCTAATTATAATTTTGAAAATAGAATTTAAAATGGGTATTTTGAATTAGATTTTTTAAAAATTAGAATGAGAATTTTATTTGAAATTTGAACTTCGTTTAAAATTTGAAATTGGTATTTTGAATGTGATTTAAAAATATATAATTTGACTATTTTTAAAATCACATTAAAAATTAAGTTCAAAATTCTGAGTTCTAATTAAGGCTGGCCGCACACGAGACGATTTTAAGCCCGATTTGCACCCCCGAACGATCGGCTTGTCACAAGCGATTTTTTTTGTCCAAAAAATCCTCTATTGTGTGGTGTCATTATGATTATTTAACTGCTCCCAATTGAGACAGAGCGTCGCCGAACTCAAATCGTAAATATCAAACATATTTGATATTTACAACTCTTGATCGGGCTGCCTCTGATGTGATACCCGCGATAGCCAATGAGAGCGAGCAAGCTTCACCTACCAGATGTTGTGTGCTTCTATAGCTGAAACTTGGCAGCCACAAACATGCCATGAAAGCAGAGAACATCACCCATATTCTTTTCTATACTTTGTTT